GGGTTTTGTTGTTGTTGTTGTTAAAGGAGCCTCACGTTGGAGTAGTCCTAGCAGATAGGATGACTGATCGTACGTCATGATATACATGTGGCAAATGTCGGTGTCTAGTAGGAACCTTCCCAAAAATGAGAAAAAAATATCTTTATGGCCTACAAACAGCAATGGATTTCAAATAAAGTCTATTAAATGATTTACCAGGTGTTTATTGTTTTGAGATTTTATTGATGGAAATGAGAAATGTGACTTCGATATTAAAGAGCATGTTTTCTTAAAATACTAATCCCACCTTTTTTAGGGAGGTCTGTGAGACTTACTAGGGACGTATGTAGTCACTTATCTTTGTGCTCTACAAGTTCAGGTATCGCAACAGAGGTCACTAGTTGAGCACCAACTACATATTTGGGTTGCGAGCCCCGCACTAGAGTTGTGGAGCCTTCTTTTGTCATTTTCTTCCATTAATATTACATGTCAGACTATGTCTCATTTCTCTATATATGTTATGTATTCCATAGAAGCTGCTTTGACTCACTGTGGGTTGGGAATATAACTGAATGATGTCTCACGTTGAGGCTTATTGTAGATATGTTATGCCTTCAAGGCCTTTTTATGAGCATACTATATTTTATTAAAGCATTGATCGATAGCAACGGGTCGTTTGGGACCCAATGCATGTTACATTGATGGATGTTACGACGAGGTTAAGGGTTTGCTCGACAGGCTCCAAGCTAGCTAGGTGATGGTCATGACCCCTAGTTTGGGTCGTGACATAAAAAGATCACATATCCCTTCAAAAGCTCGTAATTCTGTACTTCCTCAAATGTATGAAGTCTTACGTGCATAGACCAGGAAAGTATCTGAAAAACACTTCACAATGAGCTCAACACTACACCAAGGCAGACTCAATCCTAACACTCAACAACATCCAAATCCATTCGCTTTTTTGATATCCTCAACCAGCACTCCAACAATCTCATGGAGTAATCACAAGCAAATCAGGAAAGGTTAATGTCACTTCTCTACGTTATTCATAACTACTGATGCAATAATAGGAGATGCATCAAAAAGAGAATCTTAACAAGGAAGTATGAATTTAATGGAAAATATAAATTCAGAAATAGTGTATAAAGTTATAAAAGGATGCAATGAAAGACACAAACCCTCAAATCCACCATAGAAGTTCGAGTGCGCTTATTTGGAACAGAATTCTTAGTCCTTTCTTCGGACTTCTGTAGCTCTAACTCATAACCACTCTGGGTCCCTAATTTAGCAATGCCTGCACCAGAAACTGAGCGGTCACTTGGATATAACACATTGGGTCGTTCATTCGATAAGACGTCTGATCGAGATCGCTTCCTTGATGGAATGCTTGGAAAGCATTTGTTGATCACAGATAAAGATTCAGTGAATATCTTTACACGTTCCCTGATATTTCATGAAAAATGTATGAGTGCAAATCTTTATCCAAGTTGACCAGATAAAAAATAAACCAATGGAGCAAAGTATCATAATAACTACCTAGCTTTAGTGCAGCTTTCGCGAAGACCAGCCTTCAGCCGCCTGGCTTCCTCTGGGAAGGGCGAAGAGGACAGTTTGCCTTTAGAAGACACCAGCGGAGAATCCTCTACTGGCATGCCTAAAGCTAAACTTGTGAGTCGCTTGAAATCAATGTGCCTATTAAGCTTGTGCTCTGTCACCATTGCTTTTGGATCAAAACGTAAGCACTGAAAAAAGTTAGTGACATCTGTTTGTGTTATCGTTGAAGTACTTCTTGTCATATTAGGTAGAGTAGATAAGATTGGATTCTCCATGTTCTCACGGAAGCTACCCGACCTATCCAATGAAGCAGATGCATATGACCCACGCTGCCCGGATGCATACAATGGCCTATCTGGGCTACTAGAAGATAGATTAAATTTGCTAGATGCTGACATGGCATCAGCTTGAACACGCTCTTCGTGTTACCCACCCAACTGACACAGAGGTGCATGGCAATAATCTACAACCAGAATGCATGAAACCCAGCTCAATCTCCTAATAATGATGGTTACAACCTGCAAGGATACCGTAATGGCATCAGAAGAGCTGCTCAGAAGAGTCCAGAAAGACCATTAATAAGACCAAAACAACAACAACAACAACGAACCCAGTGTACTCCCATAAAAAGAGCATTAATAAGACCGAACATAAATAACTTGTTCCAGCCTAACATTAGGTGCAAAGTAATAGAACAATTTGTTAAGATTAAGGAGTTTAAATGTATATAACAAAGTTTGAACATGTATCCATACTGAAACAGAAGCGGCAAAGAAGCCAATAGATCAACCATAATGAAGAATCATCTCAATTGCATAATAACCATTTAAAGTGGTATTTAAGTCATCAGATGACAAACTACACTACGATGTAACCAGGTTCAATATGTGTAACCATGGATTTCTAGAAAGATACAAGCAAGAAGATGAACACTCATAAATGTAGAAGCCATCAGTTATAAGCTCAATAAAATAAGGATTTAGGGTGTGTTCGGTATGAAGGAAAATGTTTTCATGGAAAATGAGTGGTTTTATCACTTATTTTCCCTTATTTGGTTGGTGAGTACAAAAATTTTTCCGGAAAATATTTTCTAGTGTTTGGTTAGAGAGTAGAAAATATTGTTTATGCTACTCTCTTCACACCCCTTCAATAAAGTACTCCTTTTTCAAGCATTTCAAGCCGACAAAGAGCTAAAACGTCCATCAATGGAGAGAGAGAAAGAGCTAAAATGCCCATCAATGGAGAGAGAGAAAGAGAAGGGGTTCACATCTAAATATTGAATAGTAAGAAGATGTTGCACGACTGCACCTTTGAGTAGACGAGCTAAATTAGTTGATGAATTTACGCCTATCAATAATCTATTGCTGATAATTTTGATCCTTTTCGTTCGACCAGCACGTGCATCAGTGCAATAAACATTGTATTCAGTCTCTCTCTCTCACTCACTCCCTCCGTCCCTCTCTCCCTTATTCATCAAGTAGGGGAGACATTTAGACAATCTTGCCACTACTTTAGCTTTCTACTTTGGATCATTCCACCAATTGAAAATCAAAAGCTCTACTAATAAATCTTCTATGATCAAAACAAATCATCAACTTTCAAATCAAATGCTCAGCTTTGACACCCACGATTTTTGATACTCTTACTACTTAGCTTGAGCAGAATGTCAAAAATAATAATCTCCAGCAACATCAACAAACCAATAACTTCTACAAACTTACTAAAGATCATCAGACAAAAAAATAGATCTTTTTTACCTGGTAGCTTGCACTATACACATACAAAAACCCGAAAGAACGTCTGATCCGAACAACCTTGTATACCAAAATTCTGAAATGAACAATAAAACACATCAGAATTTGCCTTAGCTCGGGTTCAATAGGGTTTTGAAAGTTTAGAATTCTAAGATAGTTACCCAAATAATTTATATCAAAAAAATCTGATACACAGACAACAAGAAAATAAATATCCAAATACAATTTTGTGTGTCATAAATTTTGTTATTTACATAAATGCATGAAATGAATATATTTCAAGAGGAGACGAAAGAGAAGAACAGTTTACATAGATGAACGTCGTCGTTGATCGGAGTCGGGGAGGGTCGGTCGAGAAATAACGCGGATCGTTTTTGTTGTTTCGTCACCGGATTTTAGCCCGCTTTTGATTTGAGCCCGGACCAAATTTCTGCTTAATTTAATTTTACGGGACGAATTGTACAAATAGCCATTTTTAGGGGGTGAGGTCTACAAATAGTGTGGGATGGTCTTGAATGCTTGTCTTCTTAGCGTAACTTCAAATTTAACTAGTGTAGCGCCTCACATATTCCATAAGTAACCCTTTCCAAAAGTAATATTTCTAACTTTTGACCTTAAAGTTCTGCTCATGGAAAAGGCGGGATCAAAAGTTAAAAGACCACATCAAAAATATCATATTTATATAATTTTTTGGATTTAAGGAAAACTAGAATACTCGAAATTTATTTAAAAAAATAAAGTTTAGCGTCTCAGAATCAAAGTTAAGAACTTCGGTGATGAGTTTGAAGAATCAGACTATGGGGTCAGAATTTTGAATTGAAATTTCAGACCTCATATTTGAAGTTTGAATGCAATTCAAAATTCATATAAAAGGCGTAGCTTAACTTCAGATCCGAACATTTAAAATTTTAGTTTTGGCAGTTCAAATTTCATATTCGCATATGAAGTTTGGCTCTAAAAGTTCAAGACTTCACGCACGAAACTCTGAAGTTTGAACTTTGTCAAAATTGATTAAACTCTAAATAACTTTTAAAAGTTAGATATGCATTTATTAAATAGGGATGCTAAAAGCGGCTACCTAGTATCACTTCTACAATCTTACAAGCGGCTTTGTACATTTTGGTCCATCTTAATTTACTAGTTCATGTAAAGGAGCCAGTTTGATTATGGTCTTGTTAGGCTGATTTTAATGCATAAATTGCTTATGTATGAGTAATAGAGGGAGTTTGGATTAGCTTTTAAGCTCTTTTTAGTTTTTTTTCAGTGTTTGACAAAGTCAAAAAGTGCTTAAAATAAGTTTAAAACGGCTTTAAACAAGCCAAAAGCAATAAGCTGGGCAATCCCAACTTATTGCTTTTTGGCTTAAAAGCTATTTTTGCTGAAAAGCTACTTTTTTTTAAACCAATCCAAACGGGCTCATAATCTACTATACGTACATCAATTTTGTCAAATTCAAATCCGAAGCTTCTCGTAAAGATACAAGGACAAATTAGATCATTCACTCTTTTCATAAAGACACAAGGACAAATTAGATCATTGACCTTTTTTACAACAGGTATTAAGTATTAACTAAGTTATATCACATGAGTCCCGATATTTGATTAAAGACAATATTTGGATAAGCTGAGAAAATGAGTACTTGAACTTGAAGCTGAAAAAGAGTATTTGGAAGTCGAAACTGTGTTTGAACATGAATTAACCCGGGACAGGATATGCAAAACATCAATGCTATGTAATATTCCTGTAAAAGTTCACCACCATACTATTACAAGCTATGACTCAGTTGATTCCAAAGTAAAAAATGACAACCCAGTGCATTTTCTACTTCCAACTTAACATTGATGAAAAATCCTGTTCCAAACAGGTAATAACTCATATACCACAACCTGGTGTCGCGGAAGCAAATATGGAGGTGTAGTTCCTGTTGTAATTACAAAGCCAGCAGTTTGACAGGATATCTGGAGGTTGTCTTTTACATTTTTGGAGCACTCGTTAAACTACTTCGCCACGATTGTGGATGCAGGCAACCGCTTGCGAATTGCAATACAAGGTACAAAATCTGCGAGAATGAGAAGTTGATGAGATTTCAGGAATGGCACAACAGAATAGGCCACAGATGACATACAATTCACTTATTGTTTTTTGACATATAGACAATTGACATATTGTTCAACTGAGAAAAGCAGGAATATAGTTATTAAAACTTCCTCTTTTTTCCTGGCAACAAAAGTTTGGGGAAATAAAATAACTGCATGTACATTATGAAGGTCTATACGCCATATATTGACGTGGAAAGTATAAATTATGATAGATTAATGAAGTTACCAAAGAAAGATTTGCTAAAGTATTGATGAATACCTAATAATGATTAGATGCATACTTAGTTGAACTATATGAGATGATCTCAAAGTTCTCAAGCAAATGAGAAGATAGATAATATGTCAGCGCAATTCAAAACTACCCAGCACCGAGATATCAACAGCATGATCTTGAAAGATGAAAAGGGCCGGCTTGTTATTCCTTCAACCTTCACTCTACATAACGTGGGCGGATAAATAAGAGTACTGACTGACATATACCAGGGAAAAGGACTAGCATGAGAGCTGGGCGACTGCTAGAGAGAGGAAACAGCTATTTCATCAACATACTCTAGGGCCTCCAGACCAACAAAAAAAAGGCACGCATCAAATCACAGAAACATGAGACTGTACGAGTCAAGATAGTAAAAAATGGAAAAAGAGAAAAATAATCTGCACCTTGGTCCTCCTTCGACATACTACCATAGACATACCAAGAAATAGTATCTTAAATAATGTCTTGTGTAAAAGCTATAAAAGGAGTAAAGGCATGGGGTCAAAATATAAACAGACAGACATAAGCATACATACTAATTATAGCTCAAAGTGTTGCCAGTGGAGGTCCAGCAGCTGCAAATAAGACCCCAGATCAACATCCTGGTCATTGTACATAGTGATGAAAGGATGCCTCTGCATTTCATAGAATTTCATACAGTCACCACGCGTAACTGATCAATAGTAACTTCGACAAAAATGAAAGGTGATATCAATACCATGAGCTCGTTTACCGACAATCTGTCCTTTGGATCCTTCTGGATGCTGACATATGTTAATGTTACTCCATAAGAAATTTTTGAAACTCCATAAGATAAGCAAAATTTAACAAATATACACAGAACAATGTGCACAGGAACTCCAGGTATCGCATTACCATACAGCCAGCTCAACATCAATGAGAAGCATATTAAGATTCGAAAATAGTTAGATCTGAAACTATAGTACTTTGCAATATTTTGCTATATTGAGTAGTATAGCTGAGATGTATATTATTTATACACACGAATATTACAAGCTGTACATTGAAATAGATGTAGCATGCCTTAACAAGTGTATTAACACAAAGAAAAGGAAGGATGTCCCCCTGTCTCAAGCCCCTTGAGCTGCCTACGGATCCATTTATTAGAACTAAGAATCCGACAGTTGATATGCAGAACTTGATCCACTTCCTTCACCTATCCTCCAATCCCATCTTCCACATTACAAATTCCAAAAACTCCCCGTTGACATGATTATAGGTCCAGTTTGCACAAAATCTACGATTTCCTTATAGAGTAAGCTTGTGAAAAGAGTTAGTTTCTTATGGAGTCAGCTTGTCAAAGGGGATTATCAAAGAGCAAGAGATCCGCCAGATGTGTTGAATACAAGGAGGGAAATGGCTCCTTTTTTTCCAAGTAAAAGGTGGGAAATGGCTCTTAAAAATATATTTCAGAAGGATGTATGATGCAGGAGGTATTCATGGAGAAATCATTTCCACAAATGTATTGACTAGTGAATAAGAGAATATTCAGGTAGCCGATTACTTGAAAAGAGATATTCAAGGGGTCATGAGATATATAAGTTCTAGCATGCTTATTCACGACTTGAATACTCAGGATAAAAAGGGAGGATAAGATGGTTTAAAAGGGAGTGAAAGAAAAATAATTTATAGTAAAATCTTATCATATGAAGCTTTGAGAAAGGGGAGACAAGAGAGAGGATTGGGCAAAAAAATGTGTTGCACTGAAGTCCTGAAAAAAGTAGTGCTTGTTGTTCAGTGAGCGATGTATAGGTTGGAAGCATGGACTGGTGCACTGGTATTTGAGCACACTAAAGGCGATTGCTACAGAGACGACTGGTAAAGGGGGAACATAGTGAGCGGTTGTATTGGTTGAGGGAGGATGTGTGACTAGGAGGTTGGCATGAGTGGCAGCAGGTGGTGCTTTGGTTGGTGCAGACATGGCTACCAAGAAAGTGCCACTGGCAGCACTTGGGCAACCTGCAATAGAGGAGCTCGCACGAATTTTACGGTTATCGTTTGTGTTTGGGCAGTTCTGCAGTTGGCCTCACACAATCTGCATTATTACCAACCTGAGTAATATGGCTGAGATGTATATTCTATATACACAAGAATGTTACGAACCATATATAGAGATACATGTATCATGCCTACACTAATGCATTTACACAAAGAGAGTGCAAGAAATTACTCTAACACTTACCATGCAGATATGAATGAGCAGAACTGAGGAGAAAATTGGTCAGAAAGAGCACAAGGAGCTGGTTGGTCAGCAATTGTTTCCATAAGCTCATAAACATTAACCCATCCTTCCTCTCCCTGGGGTGGTGAATACGGGAATTGACCTGTTGCACACTCTAGAAAAACTAAACCCAAGCTCCAAATATCGCTTCTATACCCATAGGTTCCTCCTGAAATTCTCTCTGGCTGTAGTACATAGCAGTATATCAGCAACTTGTAGGTATACCGAAAGATTGTACAAAACATAGTTGCAGCAAAATATGCAAAGAAAACAGTTTCTTTGAGGTTATTTATGAATGACATTTACCTAGGAGTCTAATATTTTGTACTCGCTTTTATTAACTATCAGGCTGCAAGATACTCACAGACATATAATTGTATGTGCCAACAAAGGTATTGGCGTGTCCTGATGTGCTTGCTAGTACTGCACTCACACCAAAGTCAGTGATCTTGACATCACCTCTGTGATTGATTAGCAAATTCGAAGGTTTCAAGTCTCTATGAATGATGTGCTTCTCGTGATGAAGATAACACAAGCCTTTGAGCACCTAATTGCACGATAAAACAAGATCGACTTAGCATGTCGGAGTTTCTTCTCGCTGAGATCCAATTATTTAACTTTTTACCTGCTTACAGATGGCAGCAAGATATGGTTCAGGAATCGTTTTGACTTTTTTCATAAAGTCTGCTAGAGAGCCGCCATCCATATACTCCAAGATTATGGAGATAGCACCATTATCAAAGAATGATTGATAGCATATAACAACATAAGGACATTGGGATGACTGATTAATTCTCAGCTCCTGAGCAATAAGCTTGCGAACAGACTCTTCAATATTCATTTGAATAACCTGAATTCTGACAACTAGTGTGTCAAAACAATTCCTCACAATGAGCAAAAAAAGGAAGCAGTAGACAGTGAAGACTGAAGAGTATATATATACCTTGAGAGCAAAGAATTGGCCTGTCCATTTATGTTGAACTAACCGCACTAGACCACCATTTCCTTTCCCAATAACCTTAATCGCTTCAAAATCAGCTAAACATAACTGGTTGTCTGATGGCTGTGTAACTGAAGACTGAACAAAGTTGCAAATGTAAGAATAAATATCCTGCCATAGTTTCAATGGAGCAAAGAAGGGAAGCCTTGGCGTAACTAATAAAGTTGTTGTCATGTGACTAGGAGGTCATGGGTCAAACTATGGAAACAGCCTCTTGCAAAAATGCAGGGTAAGGCTGCGTACAATAGACCCTTGTGGTCCGGCCCTTCCCAGGCCCCGCGCATAGCGGGAGCATAGTGCACCGGGATGCAATGGAGCAAAATCTATGTGGAAGAGAGATCTAACACATAAAGAACATCACTTTGCAGACCAATCCCAAGATGAGAATAAAACAAAGGCTCCAGGTAGGATTCGAAATCCGTGGGACTTATAAGCCTAAATTTGCTGTGATAATTGGCTTGGTTTAAGATGAGATTCTAAGAATAGTAGTAATATTGAAAGATTGTCAACAGTTTCAATTCTTTGTGCAATGAGATATCAAACTAAATACTTCACAAGGTAAAATTTCAAATTTTTAAAAACATTCCTTAAAAAGATTCTTGAGGAAGCATACAGTTTCAACTTCATTCTGAGAGACAATTCGAACTCCATCCCTATTCACAAGAAGATCCCCATCCTTAAAAGTCCCTGATTCAGTCCTACACCAAAAAGTCCTCATCAATTAACAAATGTAAACAAATAACACACACACACACACATATTTTGAGAGAGAGAGAGAGAGAGAGAGAGTACAGGAATTTAGAGAGATGAACTTCATCAGGAAGAGGAAGAGAAAGCTTTAGATTAGGGGCTAAAATTCCTTTCTTCATTTGCAGTGAAAACTTGAACACAACTGTGTAAAACTGTTTTCTGAGCAATTGGGTATTTTCTGTTCTTGTTAAAGTTGTCTTTTTTATGCAAATCTTGGGATGTAATAATATATAGACAATTTCTATAGGTACACATTTTCTGGTTTTATGACAATGTTGGAGTATATAAAGAGACATAATAGAGTACGAGACATCAATTAATTCAACCATAGGTACCTGTTGACTATTGAGTTGCTACTTGTATGGGTCAAATCTCATCAAGGGAATTCTACTTAAGTAAGGACAATCAAGAAGCAACCAAGTCGAAGTCGTGTGTAGGAAGCGATACGTCGGCAAGTGATTTGGCTACGGTCGAGGTCGAGCACTCAATTCGGTCTGAACGGCCAGTTCATCACTCAGATATTCTAGAGGAATATTCTATGGGATATTCCAAGAACTTGGGTACTCCTGTTAAGGACCGCTGGGTAAGGAAAGTGTTTGGTATAAATATCACGAGAAAGTGTGACACAAGGGGAAGATAGGCATACAACGAAAGATACATCCCTAAAAAGGGGAGGAGGCTCCTGAAACATAGGGCTCCTGATGGAATAAGGAGATGAGAGCTTGAAACCCGGGGCTCCTGATGGAATAAGGAGATGAGAGCTTAGAATCTCGATATGCATCTCCAATTTTAGTTTATCAAACGGATGGAAGGCAGTCTCGTTTGAATATGGTGATCCTTTTCATTTTAAGTATTCCTCATTGTCATTCGATATTAATGAAGCATTTACCTGTTTCTTTCTTATATCACGAGAATCAATTGTTGTTGTAATCAAAATTTATGTTTTGTTGTGCTTGTTCATTCCTATCATTTATCTCAGATCTAAAATTTATTATCTTTGGCTAAAATTTGCCTAAATCTCTTCATCGAACTGGTTTAACTAATAAGGCCTAATACTTTTTAGTCAAACACTACTTCCCACTTCAATCGATAAATATGGGTACCTTTTATAGTTGAATTTTGATTTGTAAAGACACTTGTTGTTATATTTTCTTGCTGTTTCGAATTTGCCTCAAGATGGAATTAAATCAATCGTCAACTATCAAATTGTTTGAACCCAAAATTATATTGTAAAACAAGCTATATAACGCTAATAGAAAATTTTCTTATAAAGGATTGTTGTTTCACAACCAAACTATGCAAAACAACACGGATGTCATCAGTTAAACTATTTCGTGGACAATTAATTTTGCTCACTACAAGTGGCCAATACAAATGTAAAACAGACACTGCAGATGAATGAGAAAAAAAACAACCTGAATGTTTTGACTTAGCTTACACACACTCCTCATAGTGTATATATATACATGTGAAAGTGACTACTGTATTGAGTTTCTAAACTTTAATCTGGCACTTAAAATAGCGTGCTGGGACGGGAATAGTGTCGAACACCCTGTTTGTCTTTAACTTGTACTATGGCACCAGTCAGACATAATCCATCATGTTGTAGGAGAACTTTGACAGCAGTTGTGGAACTCCGGCAATTATTGGTCCATAGGTCTGCAGAAAAGGTCGTTGAATGCATTAGCCTCTTAAGTATAACATACAATATGGTCATTTAAGGCACAAAAGGCATTAGACAACACTTGACTCATTACTAAGAGTCCATTGTGGTAAAAGCAAAGCAGATTGATTCAATCAACCATACTAGATTTTCAATTCATGAATGTGCCTGAGGTACAGTACCTTGAAATTTTCATGAACTTGGCAGAGTGGAACAGCTAGAAGCTTAAGGTTCTTTGGTACAATGAATTTGCGACTTTCGGGCAACCTCACAAGAAACAGTTTTGTGCACTCCTAAAAAGAGAGAAAGTCAACCTTACTAAAAGCACTGTTGTGCACTCCTACAAAGGGAAGGACTATGGCTTCAAGAACTGACAGCAAATGAGATAAATTTCAGAATGTAATGAGCAAGTACCTTAGGCCTTTTTGTATCAGGCGGCATAAACGGGTAAGTCAAAGTTTCAAAGCCAGGTCTCCACCACATCCCAAGGCATTCACCTACCTACACACAAATGAAAGATCTATAAGATGCTTAGCACAAAAACTTCAAAGTGTCATGTCAAACGTCGACATACCTCCCAGCTGTCATCTTCGCTCATTGATAGCTTACTTGAGAGCTTACGTCTTAGACATTCAATTTCTGTGATAAGTAAACAAGGATAATCCTTCAGCACTGCGAAATTCCAGCTTCAAATTGGACAAAATGAGAAAAGATATCATCCTACCTGATTCACCAGGACTAACACGACCACCAGGAAGCTTGAAAATGGAATTTTGTACTTGCAATAATAATACATGTGGATGTTTGAACAACTCGACCTGCAATACAATGTATTGTATATCATTTAATGACCACAGAGAACAGTCCCTTTCGTATGCAGTATGTAATTAGATAGGTAATTGACATTAAGAGTGCTTGAAGAATACCTAAAGACTTTTGGCAGCTTAAGTTATTTTGCCCTTATTAAGACCATCCGTGAGGAGTCACGTGAATAAGTATCGAGATCAGTCACTTAACAATCATGCACCAATTATGGAACTTGAACTATTGGGACAGATGGTATTGTTTTGATTTTAACTACTGATACAGGAAATTTGTTAACATCGCAGACTTAGAGCCTGGAAAGCTGCACAACTGACTGCTGAATCGTCTGGATGACCTACTTATTCAGCAGTTTATGAATCAACCAGGTTTTACCTGCAGCATGCTGATGGCTCTACCCATTCAGCACTTTATGTACCAACCAGGCTTAGTTGCAGTATCAAGTTGTTTAATGAAGGAGGGGGACAGAACTTACATCTTTAGGTCACTATGTTCCCCTGAAAGAACTTTAGCATGGAGGCTTTTGATCGTGGATATTAAACAAAGCTGTAGGGCCGGTATCCTATGATCACAAAATAGAAGGAGAACCCTGTTGGAGCTCAATTCCAAAATGAGAACCAAAAAGTTCAAGTTATTTACTTCACTAAGGACAGAGAAGCGAAGGATCAAGAAAACAAGCTCCTAAAGCTGGAAACCACGTTTTGTTTTGGAAAAGTTTGGTTATTTCTTGATTTGTGCGTGTCATCCTTGCACAGGGGCCATGCCAATCTTCTCTGCATTGTTCGAATTTTATCCGATGTTCCCTTCAGCAATAAACCAGTAACTTTGTCGTGATATTCTATAAAGTTATTTACATGCAAAGTGCAGCTTTAAGTTTCTAAATTAGGTAGATGATATTTATTTATTTCAAATTTCCAATCTCCTTAGTTCCTATCACTGACATATTGATCTATCATGATTCCTTCACTATTCATAATTTAGCAAGCTATATTTATCTTTAATGGTACCATCTTTAGAATAAATCTCCATGGTATTGAGACACACACCTTAACGCCTTAGTGCTTGCACCAGTGGCGAAGCTAGAAATTTTTCCAAGGGTGTTCAAATTTAAAAGAAGTGAAAAAAATTTCCGGCAAAGGGTGTTCAATATGTGTTATATACCTCTAAAACGTAATATTTTACCCATATACACGGTACACTTTTTCGACGAAGGGTGGTCAGTTGACCATCCTTATCACTATGTGGCTTCGCTACTGGCTTGCACTAAAGCACCGCTTAAGCAACCAGCCTTGTCGCGCTGAGCTTCAAGGCTTAAGCGTGCCTAAAGCAGGTTTTTAAGAACACTGGTGGCTAAATCATGATTATCATCCCTGCATTATGAGATTAGAAAGGCTTCAGCGTCTAATTTTGTGGCTCTGCAACAACTGAAACCTTCAATTATTTCTAAAATGAGTTTTTAACACTTTTTGGGATGGCAAAATTAGAAGTAGAGAGATTACTTTTGTCTTTTTTTTCCTTTTTCTTGTGTGCGAACCATTAGCTATCCAAAACTTACTGGTACGACTATCTGGATTTAGAGTATCTTAAAATCCCGAGTATCTAAAGGTGCTTCATATTCAGGTCCCTAAAACAGATCTCTGACTAGGTCATGTAACAGGACGGCTAATGGTTAGTTCTTTTCCACTTTCGTAATGGAGAAGTCCAACATTCAAAGATTAAAGGTGACTGAAGCTATTTTTGATCGAAAACTCTGAAACCGAACATTTACTGTTAAATTTATTTGAAATATCCTTACAAGATATAATTCACAAAAATTGTAAAAGTATACTAGTTAAATTTTAATCTCTGACGCAGTATCCTAACGGGGCCAAGTTACACTCTGGTAAGGATGGTCAATTGGTCGAAAAATTACACTGCGTCTATAGGTAAAATATTACTATATGTATTGAACACCCTTTGTCGGGTTCTTTTTATATCTTTCAAGTTTGAACACCCTTAGTAAGATTTCCACTCTCCTAACCCAACACATGACATACGGCCAAAATAACTACTCCGATATACTACAAATCATGAATAGTACAACTTGTGCGGTCTTCCATTAAACAGTTGAGCCCCTACCTATCTAATATCTATCATCCCCAAAAAGGAACAGAGAAAAAACCTTGTGATTTCTTTACATTTGGAAAGAGTTACCTGATACCTGCGGCTGCCCGTGCGACGGACACCACGGTTATGTTTAAAAGAAAGGAAAAGAGAAAAGAAAGGAATTAGAGACTAACCAAAAGCACAGCTTGTACACAGGTCCTGAGTCCATGAATATCGTAGCTGAAACCAAACGATAGGGAAATCAAATGCGAGATACTAAAAGAGCTAGAAAACAAAAAACAATAAGAAGATAAATTAAACATACTTCAATTTCATGCGTAGAACGCGATCAGCCAAGGTCTCTTCCTTAAACTGAAGAGCCTCTTTTGAACCAAAATAGTAATGATTCAGTGGGTAAATATCCAATACGCTACTAGTGTTAACGGCACCACCACTTGAATAAACACCGCCGTTTTCCTCGGCCGTTAAGAAACTATGATCGCCCATTGATTTGAACTGAGACGAAGCAGAAGCGAGAGATCAAAAGACAAGTGCAAGTTGAATGAAAAGGAAGTTACGGGAAGAACAGAGGTGGTAATTTTCAGACTTACTTATAGAGGAATGAAAAGGAAGTTACGGGAAGAAAAATGTTCCAGAGAGGGCTGGAGGCTGAAAGCTGAAATGGCAGACTTTTGAAATGATGAGGTGGCAGTATAGCCTTCTGGAAAGCAGGGGTTTGTCGGTCGGTACGGTACAGAATTTAGATATTTCCGTTCGGTATTTTCGGTATTCGATTTCTTAAAATGTTATACCAATACCGTACCTAATTAAATTTGGTATGATTTGGTTTTTCTCCTTTCAGTTTTGGTTATTCGGTTCGGTTTATTCGGTTTGAATATTAACTAGTGCATAGAGTCATAGACTATAATATTCTTAATTAAAGTACTCAAAATTACAAAACTAATAACATTTGTTGACAAAAGTTTTGTTCAAAACCAGCAAATATCAACCCAGAGAGAACTGTACATAAAGGAATAAATTTGATCATTAGAATTGTCTTGTTACTTGCTTAGAGTTAATTGATGAACTTAGAGAATATACTAAAGTAAAATTTTAGATTATTTATATTTATGTTATAATTAATAATATGTGTATTGTGTAATATAATATATATTTCGGTACGGTATCGGTATTTCGGTATTTCATTTTAAAATAGCAAATACCATACCTAATACCAATTTTTTTTTAAACTTAAATCAAATACCACACCAAATACCAACATATCGAATACCAAATACCACACCGAATACCAAAATATCGAATACCAAAATTTTCGATTTCGGTACGGTAATTCGGTATTTACCAAATTGTGCACAACCTTACTAGAAAGACAGAGAGATTGGGATTTCCATGGGGAAGTGCAAAGGTAGCCCATTTTGGGACTACCATTTAAGTTATATAGTAGTTAAAGTTTATAAATGTTTACCGTGAAAATGGTGATAACAATTAAATTTAGTTTTGTGAGGTTCTAAAAATATGTGACCTATTTTTATGCTGGTTGTTAAGCAGTTGATGTTATGTGAAAGACTTAGAAGCGAGATAAGAGCTCAAAAGCGAGATATTAACCAAACCGAATCACTGTCAATCGGGGCCTCGAGATTACTTATTCAGGGCTTCGAGGTCGAGTCTGAGGCTCGGTTGGGAGCTATCGGGGGTAATCGATGGGCGAATAACAGTTAGAATAAAATTAATGACGGCTCTTTATGGCCAATAATAAGCAATAAATGATGAACAATAAATAGAACACAATGAATGTAAGCAATAAATGAAGTAATGAACTCAAGAGAATATGTTAGACAGCAGAGAGAATGTTCTTGTGTATTTTAGTATGGAGCAACCGATGTTTACAAAATGGCAAGGATCCCCTTTATATATGAGGGGAAATCTCCAACATAGTACAAATACATTTATTACAAAGATATGGAGATGGGACAGCTAGTTACTGCCATGATGCGGGCTCAGACTAGCTTGACAGGCTTTGTCGGCTCTAGCTACACGCCTTGGGAACTTCCCGATCTCTCCCTGTAACCGTCGGTCTGTACTGCTCCGAGGTCGACCGTTGATGGCCCTCGAGGGATGAAACTCGACTGTGGTTTTGAGCCTTCGAGGTGTCGTAACGATGGAAAATTGGACCCTCCGATTTTACCGTATACAGATAGTCCCCGCGTTTCTTAGAGTAGAACGATAAGAAACGACCTTGATAACCAGATTTCCGGATTTCCCGCGACGACGTCATACTGATGACGTAAGCCTCCGTGATAACCGAGACGTCCCGTCGTTTCATCTTTCCAGAATCGTTCATAGCATTACCGTTTCTTATTCTTCAAAGCAATAATGTCGCCGCCGGTTCAGCTCCCAAGGATGCATTAAATGCGCCTGCCGATACGTCTTTCAAAGACACTAATGGCGTCCTCGGTTACGCTGCCGACCTTCCTATAAATGGGAACCTCCTGGAATTAACTTTTTATTCAAGTGTCTTCTAATATCTATCCATCCTTCTCTTCTCATCGTCCTCATCCATTGTTGTCCACCATGTTTGAGGCCCACTGCCTTAAGGTTACATTGCGGCGTTCCCACCAGCCACGCCATAGCCTTTTTCCGGGGCCTTTTCTTATTGAGCGAGATTACACCGTCTTGTCGTTGTTGCTGTTGTTGTTGTTGTTGCTGCTGTCGTCGTAGGCTCGAGACGACGAGGTAGGGGGGCCGATTTCTCCCCGCTCGGGAAAATGTTTGGACTCTACACCGCTACTTAGGGGGGTGTTCGGGCTTTACACCGTTGCTCACCTCCCCCGACTCCCCGGTACGGTGCCTCACTCCTTTTGCTTTCCATGGAGTGAGGTGGCAATATCTACTAACTGTTGCATCCCGCACCTGGGTAACGTCTCAAGAAGTGGCTTACTGGCGAAATCCATACTAGCCAAATTTTTCACCCAGCCACTTCTTCATTCCTCCTGCTTCTTCTGCGTCACTTTCCTCTTCTCCACCACTTTCCTCTTATTCATCTTCTCCCTTGAAGATACTGCTTTGGGAAACCGAGATGAGACCCCCGAGGGAATGGCGCTCGAAGATACTACCGCCGAGGATACTCCCCGGAGAATAGGCTAGGCTCTAGGCTTTAATTATATATGTACACCTTTTTGCTTCTTTGTTTATGTGTAAGGACCCTTCGTGGGCTTTTGTAATCATATGTAAGGACCCTTCATGGTTTTGTAATCAAGTGTTTATGAATACAAAGATGTTCCTTCAATTTGTTTCTGATGTATGCTATATTTCCCTTTAACTACGCTAGTGGAGAATCTGAGTGTATGACCCCACTGATCGGTACAAATATCGAGCCCGGGGGCGAGTGTTTCTTCTGACTTTTGATTGGTTAACACGGCTCCCCGCAGAACCCTTTGCCGTTCCTTGGACCGAGCCCGGATTGGACTGATAAACTCGGGTCGCCGGGACCCTGACTTCGAGTTGAATGAGAGTAGGGCTTCGAATCCTTAGACCGAGGCCTAGCCTTCGGACTCGGCGGTAATCTTCGAGGGGGGATTTCGCTCGGAGGTCCGAGAATAGAGACTGCCTTTAGGCTTTCGAGAGCAGTCCCCGAGTGGGGGTTTGCTCGAACCCGAGCCACCTGGGAACTTGTTTCTAACTTAGTGTAGATAGCCTTAAGGCGTTGTAGATAGATCCCAGATGAGGGTTTACCCGGATTTAGATGGTATCCCGAGGCCAAGCCTATATGAGTAGGTTTTTAGAGCTTATCTCCCTTTTGATGGGGATCCTCGAGATCGGGTACCATCTCGGGACTTGCAGTGATATTAATGATTTACTTGGAGCCTGTCTTCTTTCTGATGGAGGTCCTCGAGGTCGGGTACCACCTCGGGACTTGCAATGATGCCAATGGATTCCTGGAGCCTAACTTCTTTTTGATGGAGATCCTCGAGGTCGGGTGCTACCTCGGAACTTGGTTGACGGGAGGTTTTCGACCTTGGAGCGTCGTATGGAGACGTCGAGCGTAGGATATGGTTACGAAATGGCTGAGTCGACTCCGCCGGCATATCTTTCCAAAGCGACAAAAGCTTTAGCCAATATTTTTAATCGGCCTTTGAGGCAGGCAGGTGGTCGCCGCTTTTTCCATATATATAGGGTTGTCTTCGCCCTTTTGGAGACTCTACTATTCTGAGTAGTTATCCTCTTTCATAGAGTTCTCCTTTCTTGCGCCAATTTTCCTTTAATTCAAAGCTTTCGCCCAAGTCTTCATTTCCCCTTCCTTCATTTTACTGTAGCCATGGCTGCTATGCTCGAATCCGCTCGGCAAGGAGAAAATCCGCCTCTGGGCACTTTGCTTCGGTAGGGAATCTCCCGCCAGAAGAGACTCCCAGTGTTCGAGGTTATCGGGATTATGCCTCGAAGCCCATTTCTTTAATAGGAGAGGAACATCTCGAATCAGTGAGGAGAGACTGTGGATGGGGGGAGAAGGTCGTATTGCTTGTACTTTCCCCGGGAGAGAGCGTTATGGACCATGCTGAGGGGGTTTTGAACGTATATACGTACCCCTTCACTCTAGGCCCCCCTGATAGGGTTGTGCTTGATTTCTGTCGGAAATACCGGGTCACCTTGGCGCAGATTCATCCGTCATTTTGGCGGATAGTATTGATGATGAGGTTCTTTGCGGAGAAAGCAGGGCTTGAATTCACGCTCAGCCATCTTATCAGGCTGTACCGACCTTTTCACCATCGAGGTCTGTTAACCTTACGATGCCGGTCGGCCACTCCTTTCGTTGTTGATGATGAAGAAGACGGAGATCGGGCGTGGATGAGTCGATTCGTCCGAGTACGGACTATTGATATTATCCCCGTGGAGTTCATGCCATTCCGTGAGGGATGGAATTATACACGTAAGTTGTACACTCGTGCCTTCGCAGCTTTTTAATTATGGCGAAGGAGTGTTCCGTAAATGTGCCTTCTTTCCCTCTTCTACAGCAATTTCATGGATGCCGTGCGAGGTCCCCGATCTGCCAAATTGGGCTCGGGGGTTGGCGGCCCACTCGACATGCGATGAGCGTAAGTGGCGAGCTTTGTCCAGGGGCAAATGGGAGGCAAAACATCATGGTATGTGCTGTGCGATTTGTTCCCTTCCCTTTTTTCAGTTGGAAAATCACTTTTTCTTTCTACGTACTAACCCCGTTATTGCAGGCATCGGGGAGCCTTCTGAGGCGAGGCCGTGCCCCTTTGGAGTGGGAGAAGGTTGCTAGCTTCTAAGCTAAAGAATGATAATAATAAGCAAGAGATACCTTTGCACGGCGACGGTGCTCAAAGCAAGGTGAACCTGGACCGGGGGCCCGGAGTGGAAGTGTTGACTGAGCCTGCCACGCCCGTGACTTTTGGTTTTGGAAAGGCGGTTTCTCCTCCGTTGCCGTCCTCTTTTTCCGTTGGAGGTACTTCAAGGGATATTTCTGTCAACATCGATAATTATGGAAATGAGCTAGCTGGTAACTTGGCCAAAAATGCTTCAGCATTATACTAATGAACAACCTCGAGAACATCGAGGTCTATACAAGATGTAATTGCCATATTAGGAAGTGATGAAGCACTGTTGGCTTTTTGCTAGTATGTACTAATTCCTAGTA